GGATGTACACTGGTACAGATAGGAACTGGAAACACAGGGAATCCAGGATGGATGATCCCTTCAGGACCAATGGTGAGAGTGGCGATATCCGGAGGGATGAGGGAGGGTGGGGTAGAAAGGGGGAACCTATTACAGGGATCTACATATAACCTCCTCCATGGAAGATGGACAACAGAAAAGTGGGTAAAGGGAGACATTGGACAGTATAAGATATGACAATATAATTTATAAATTATCAAGGGTCAATGAGGGAGGAGAAAAATGAGGAGCTGAGGCCAGGGACTTAAGTGGAGAGCAAAGTTTTGAGATTGATGACGGTAACAAATGTACAAATGTGCTTTACACAATTGATGTATGTATGGATTATGATAGGAGTTGTATGAGCTCCCAATAAAATGATTTAAAAAAAGAAATGCATTTTCGTACCTACATTGCTGAAACCACCTTTTATAAAACAAGGCTTTATTTTACCTCTTGCTCTGTGTGATGTGCTGTGAAAAATTCTAGTGAAATTTGTTTTCCTTTTTTAAACATCGGCCATTTTTCTGTGCATCTGCTGTAAGTTGGGTGAAAGTTGACGGAACAAATTGGTTTTCTACTCAACGATTCGTACACATTTCAGTTCATGGCATTGATTGTAGTCCCAATGATATAACAACCCTCTTCCCCGCAGGGCTCCCCATTTCCTTCTGTCCTTCTTTCATAGCCCTTCCTGCCGTCTAAGCGTTATCCCTGGGGAAATGCTTCCCTTTCATCTTGAACAGTTAGTTAAGTCAGGGAGCGTGCGCCTCCCTGGTGTTATTGTTCACCTTATAGACCTGTCGATTGTTTGCCTGGACATTGAGCCTCTGGGTGGCTTAGTTAAAGGGTGACAAGGGCCTAAGTGTATGGGGCTCTACGAGTCTTTCTAAAACCAGGGAGCCTGGTCTTCTTTTGTCCTTTTTGTTCCACACTTTTCTCCCACTTAATCCAGGACCCCCTGTGGTGTCCCTTTCTGAGCAGTTGGTGGTGGGAGCCAGGCACCCTGGGGTCCTGGTCTCCAGGTCTCGGAGGCTGGAGTTCAAGTGGTCCATGTCCCTATGTATCTTTGTATTGGCTCTTTGTTTTGTTTCGTTTCTTTACTCTTCTTTCCTCTGGAGGGGGAGAGACTCATGATTGGACCTTAAAAGGCTACCCCGAAGCTTTTAAGCCCCCCCAACCCCATCACTACGAACCAAAGTAGGATGTAGAACATTCTCTTTGTGGACTATGCTATGCCAGTTGACATTGATGTTCCATGAGATCATGGTCCTGAGCTTCTAAGCCTGTGATGCGTTCCCTCAAGGTGTTTGGTTATGGCTAAGACGTCTGCATAAATTCGCCCCCTGAATGCTCAACCATATTCATGAGTATATTTGTAGTACCTACAAAGACACATGTGGAAGTAGCCTCTGGGAACTTATCGATACTGATGAGTGTTGTGTGAGTTGCCTTCCCTCTCCTGTTCGGCTTGCATCTCTCTCTGGGTCCACTCGTACATTGTGGTTATCGCTGTTACTGCAGGATCGGGTATGGAATCGCCTTGACCCTGTGCTCTTCCTGGAGCGCTCCTCCCCCTGGTTCATTTTGGGCTACCTTCCTCTCTTGTACACTGCTTTCCCCTTCACCCAAGGGAATTTGCGTGTACCCCTAGTTCATGATGTAGCCTCCCACCCTGGCCACCTTCCAAGAATGTTTCCTTCTGAGAGCACATCTTTTCCTGATGACGCCTAGTAGTGGTCTGATACAATATTTGCCCTTTTGTGATTGGCCCGTTTCACAGTGAGTTTGGATTTGGGGGGATGGAGGGGGCGGGGGATTTCCCTCTGCATGATGTTCTCCAGGTTCAGTCAAGGTTTGAGGTGTTCAGCAGCCTCACTGTTATTCTTCTTAACACTGCGTCATATTTAACGGTGCGTATGAACCAGAGCTGGTTTATCCATCCACCTGTTGATGGTTGTACTTAGGCTGTTCCATCTCTTTGCCACTCTGAATAATGCTGCTATGGACATGAGTGTTCATGCATGTGTCTGCTCTTGCCACGGCTATTATTTACCATGGCCCAGCAATAGCATGTCTAGCTCTAAAGACTGGCCATTTTAAATGATTTTAACAACCCACTCATGTATAATGACCCACAGGTTGAGAAACATGACTCAAAAATGATCCTTTTTGTTTTTTCCTCAGATAATAGAATGTCCTTCGGAAGTTTAGAGCTTTCTTCTGAGCTCAGCTGAGAGGACTTAGATTAGAGATGCGTGAGACGGCATGTAGTATATCGTTTCCTTCCGTCCTCTTGGCTAGGCGAGCGGGTCTGCCTTCTTGTCCAAGCCTTTGCGCCTTCCTTGTTTAGGTTTCGTTATTG